AGGAGGAATATTCCCAAATAGTCAACAAATAGTATGGGGACTATGTTTGATGATTTGTTTGCTATTTGGGGGTATGCTTTGGGTAGTTTCATATGTTCGTCCAGAATCCGCCTGTAGGGGGACACGCCCGACCTACGGCAAGGGCGGGGGATGCACGCAGCACTCTGCTGGTGGAGGGGGGGGGGCCCCAAAAGACCACGGGCACCCACCCCACGGTGCGGCACACGGCATGCTGGCACGCCTCGACGTGCCAGGGGGGGCGCGGCGGCGGACGTTCACCCAGTCGGGAGGAGGAGCAAAGTTATCCGTAAGGGCTTCGCCCCCTGCCGCCGGCCCCCTCTCAGGGTAGTTTTCGGCTCACCCCCCCTCGCGCGGACAGTAACAATTTACAGTAGGAAGCAGAAAGCAGCATTGTAACAATGGAAACTGGAAGCTGGAACTGGTGCAGGGAGCAGCAAGCTTAACCCTCGCAGCCTGATGGCCCCGCAATGGGGGCTGGCGGATTATGCGGCCAGAGCACATTGATGCGTTGTTCCCTCATTTTGTCATCAGGCAAGACGGCTATACAGAGGTACACCCAGACGCGACAACCGAGCTGCGCCTGAACCACTTCAAGTGGTGCGACACCTCGGGTGAGGGGTGTTTTGGCACGAACCAGTCGAGAACTAACATGGCAGTGGGGCACACGGTCAAGGAATTGGGCCCAAACCACAAGCGTAAGCAGTTGATAACCGACGACAGTGATTGGCATGGCAGGTGTTCAAATTTGCTTGCTGTGAAATAGTAGCAGCGGTTCGGGCGCCCTCGGGGGGCTCTGGGAAGTATCGTCTGCAGCGGTGTTCGCCGTCCCCACCATCCATCATCCTTCTCCTCGTTCGCCCTTCTCCTCTTCTGCCTAGTTATTCTCGAAGACGCCTATGGCGAATCACCGCCGCCCCCTGCCGTGTGGAATCGCCCATGTGGCCGAACGTGGTGGCCAGAGCTCTGCCAAATTGTCGGATCATGTGTTCCCCAAGCCGTTGTGGGAACCCTTCAGGGGACACGCGGGAAGAAAGAAGGAGCGAAGGAGAGGGAGGAACAGTAGAGAGGAGGAAGAGGAGGAGGAGGAGGAGGAGGCTGAGGAGGATTCTTGGGGCCTCTAGGAGCCTCTTTGGGGCCTCTGGGAGGCCTCTTGAAAGCCGCCTTGGGTCTTTGGGGGGCCTGTTACGGCTTCTCGGGGGTCCCTTGGGCCGTCTGAGGGCGTTCCTGGCCCGTCTAACGCCGTCGGAAGCCGTCTTGGATGGCTCTCTGAACCGACCTGGGGCCCTCTTAGGGCGCTTCAGGGCCGTCCTGGAGGCCACCTTGGGCGCCTTGGAGGCCTCTTGTGCCGTCTGAAGGCCCTCTTGGGGCCGGCCGTCTTGGAGGTTTCTTGGGGCGTCATAGGGGAGATTTTGGAGGCTTTTGGGGCCATCTTCGGGCGATCTTGGAGACCTCTTGGGCCGTCGGAAGGCCGAAAAGTATTCCGACGGAAGGACCCCACATGAGAAGATGTTCAGCTTGCCCTTGGCCCTTTCCTCCTCGCCTTGGCAGACACCCTCCTCTCGCCCTCTGCTCTGCTCCTCCTCCTCCTCCTCCTCCTCCTCTCCTCCTCCTCCTCCTCCTCCTCCTCCTCCTCCTCCTCCTCCTTCTCCTCCTCCTCATATTCCTCCTCCTCCTCCTCCTATTTCTTCTCCTCCTCCTTCTATGTATCCTCCTCCTATTTATCCTCCTCCTCCCTTTCCACCTCCTCATCATCGTCGCCCTCTCCCGATCCCTTCCCCGTCGTCATCCTTCATTTGTTTTTCTCCATGTGCTCCCCCCCTTCCCCCTGGTCGGGGCAAGCAAATCGATTTCCCTCGGAGCCGTCGCCGCCTCGGTCAGCGCGCGCACATTCGCCGACGGCTGGTTCGCGAAGCCTTTGGGGCAGCTCCGCGGGCCATGCCTTTGGGACAACCCCACGGGCCGCTGGGGCGCGGGGGCAGGCCGTCGGGACAACCCCGCGGGCCAGACCGTTGGAACAACCCCGCGGACCTCTAGCTGCGCGCCGCGGCGCGCATGCGGGAGGCAGCACGAAGCCAAGCTCCGCGGCCAGCTGCTCGGCCTGATACCTGGAGGTTTTCGCTGTCTCGATTTCTCCTCGAACTTCTTGAGCGCCGCCCGCGAGGACGCCGGCGGCCCGCGCTCCAGAAGCGCGCGCGAGGGCGGCCGCAGGATCAGCATGTTCCGCATGCACGTGGCGCGGCAGACCATGAGGGAGAGGTGCAGCCACCACTGCTCGTCCGATGGCGACGCCTTTGCGCAGCGTCTGGCCCTGCGACAGCGTGGAGGTCAGGTAGGACGCGCGCGTCAGGGTGAACCCCGAGCGGCGCACAGCGTGCGCCCCCGAGCTCTGCCACGTGACCTCCTGCTCGCAGGATCCGAACATGAGCAAGCTCCCCGCCCGCGCTTCGGCCTCGCCGTATTCGACGGCGCCTTCGGCGCCCTGCGGCAGGAGCTCGGCGACCTCCTTGTAAATTGGGGGTTCCTTGCAGCCGTGGACCTGCAGCCAGATTCCCTGCGGTAGGTAGCGGGGGCGACAGACCTGGCCCAACGCGCGCTCCTCGTAGTCCCGCTCGTCGTGCGGGTAAGATTCGAAGGACACGATGGTGGCCCGCTACTCCTGCACGAGCCCCAACGTCTTCAACTCCTCCTGCGCGACCGTGAACCGAACCTCCATGCCGACGCGTGCCGGTAAGACGCCATGGATGTCCCCCGTCTTGTGCATGTTCGAGACGTTCAGGAGGCGTCGGCCCGCGCCTGGATCGCCTTGAATCACACCGCGCTCGTCTACGGCCTGCAGGAAAACGAGGGGGGCGCCGAGGCGCTGCGCGTCGCGACGAGCGCGCGCGTTGATCCACCTCGCGAGCGTATCCCTGTAGACGCCCATGCCGTAGCCGAGCCGAAAGTTGTCGTGCTGGTGCCGAGGGTCCAGGACGCCGTGGCTGTTCGAGGCCAACGTCTTCTCCCAGGCGGACCAGACCTCCGGTGAGAAAGGCTTGCCCTCGCGCGTGCAGCCCAAGAACGCGATCAGAGGGTCCCCGGGCTCGAAGCGCTCCGTGCCCTTCAGCTCAAAGACGCAAGGGATCTCAGAGAAGACCCTGATGGCGCGCTGAATCTCCACCGTCGGCGGCTCCGTGTACTTGCACGACCCGTCGTCCAGACGCTCGCTCACGTCCGTCAGGAGCCCGATGCTGCCGGTGGGCTTAAATTGTAGGAAATCGCCGAGATGCAACACGATGGGGGCGCGCCCGAAGTGGTGGTGCGGCCTCTTCTAGGTGGACTCCTGCACGTCGTGCGTGTCACTGCGTCCATGGCAGGCGGAAGGTCCAGCACGTTATACAGAGCTGCCGCCACCACGTTCAATTCCTCGATGACCAGAACGCGGACGTGCTCCCACAACCACTTCAACCTCTTCTGCATGCCCCCAAATTTCATCTTCGCGTTGGTGTATTTTTTGACTCGCCGGGCGCAGTCTCCGTGGAGATGTTCTTCGCCTGCGCGTTCGAGAAGGCCACGACCATCATGGCGCCCTTGTTCTGCGCCGACGTGGGTCGCAAAGACTGCACCACTGGGAAGACGACCTTCTGCGCCACGCGCGTCTTCCCCGAGTTTCCCCGAACCGATGCTTTCGTTTGGGACATCGGAAAATGTGTCCTGGTACCGTTGGTGGCGAATCACGCCCCTTCTTTTATATACAGAACCTCCCGATCAACCGCACAGCGGTCGGCTACTAGTGCATTGGAAAATGAGAAAACAAAGAAAGGATATTACATGTCCCCGGCGCTGCTCAAATCATATGAAAGTGCGAAGCAACCACGACAAAGGGAACGCAGTTCAAATTACCGAAACACCAAGATCGCAGTATTTCGGAAACCCTACGCAAAACCGAAGTGGGGAAACTGCAATTGGTTTCAAGGACGCGGGCCCCACCCCCTCGCATGTGGCCAGCTGCGCGCAAGGCAAAGAAGCGACGGAGACCCACGTCCTTTCACGAGGCAAGAGGCTCTCGCGTGGAAAAAACGACGCGGCCAGAGGATCGCGCGGCGGACGATGCCAGAGGATCTCGTCGTAACAAACAATTTGGCGAAAACCTGCGTTGCCAGAGGCTCACGCAGTTGACGGGGCCTGGGGCTCTCGCTGTCGATTGAATAATCACCACGTGTGCGGCCAGAGGCCCGCACAGCTAACGATGACGATGCCCGAGGCTCTCGTCGTACACACTTATAAGATAAAGAATGCGTTGCCTGAGGCGCACGCAGTGGACGAGGTCAGAGGCTCTCGCCATCGACAAAATCAAAATCACCTGTGCGGCCAAAGGCTCGCACGGGTGACGAGGCCAGAGGCTCTCGCCGACGCTGGCTGGATGATACAAGGGTCGTACGCGGCCAGAGGCTCGCAGACTTGACGAGGCCAAGAGCTTTTGCTTCGCCGAATGCAAACCTCAGTAACCCAAAAGTGGCGACAGTTACAGGGATGGGATGACCCTCTCGGATTCGTAACATGATCTGCAGGCCCCATAGGGAGAGGGGCCCCGCCTGATGCGTCCTCCAAATTGAAGCCTCGGGAGCCCAACAGCGACGACTGTTACAGGATTCCGCGACAGCCTTCCTCCTCCTCCTCCTCCTCCTCCTCCTCCTCCTCCTCCTCCTCCTCCTCCTCGCCCCCCTCGCTCCTCTTGGGTCCTATCGGGGGCTCGGGAACTATCTTGGAGCGATCTGGCGGGCCTTCGTAGGCCCGTCTTGATACCTCTTGAGACCGGGGTCATAAGAATTCACAACCAAGTGCGGTTTGGCGCGCTTGCCTTTGGAGGCTGTTCTCAATCTCCGATGCCACGACGATCCGATGCAGCCTGGTACCTGCACGGCGTTGGTGCGCATCCTGGCGCGGAGAAGACGTCGAGCTTGCACAGCGCAGCCCGTGGTTTCACTCCCGTCGCCCAACAGGAGCGGCAGGGCGCGGGCCTGTGCTTCTACTGCCTGCTGGGTGCCCGGAGCCAGCTGGCGGAGATCTCCTTCACGATTGTCGGCCATAGGGGGGAAGGATAGCACGGGGAGCCCCGAGATCCTGGCGCTGCCTGTGTTTTCGCACGGGGCATCTTTGTCCGGTCTCGGGCCCCAGGACCTCTACAGATCGATCGAGCTCAAGAATGCCGCGGAGAGTTCGTGTCTGGGGCGTGATTTGTCCCGGAAAGGGCGCAGGCCCAGGGTTCTTTATTAGAGGTTTACCCCTGGATTTGACGGGAAGAGGGCCGGCGGATTTCTTTTGCGATAAATATCGAGTGGGAAGAGGGCCGGAGAATTAAAATTTGAGGATGTCCCTAGCGAAACGCTTGTTGTTCAGAATTTGTTGAGGATGTCTTGAGCGAAACGCTTGTTTTGTGTTAAAGATTGTCCTCTCCTGGGGACCCGAATTCAGAGGATCTCTCAAGTGAAATGCTTGTTTTCATGTGCCCAGGTCTTGAGGATGTCTCGAGCGAGACGCTTGGTTTCACGCCTCCAGGTTGCCCAGACAGATGTCTAGCATGAGGATTTGTTGAGGAATTCTCGAACCAGAGGCTTGTTTTCACGTGTCCAGGTCGCCCAGGCGGATGTCTAGCATGAGGATGTGTCGAGGAAGTCTCGATCGAGACGCTTGTTTGCACGTGTCCAGGTTGCCCAGGCGGATGTCTAGCGTGAGGATGTGCTGAGAACGTCTTGAGCGAAACGCGTGTTTTCACGTGTCCAGGTCGCCCAGGCACAGCACAGCCCTCGGCACGGTACATCAATATCGATACCTTGAGCATTGCAGCTTGGCGTGTTGCTTGGCACGGTCCGCGGAGCGTCCCGTGGCGAGTCCCCCTTGGCACGTCGCGCGGTGCACGTCCATTGGCACGTTCCGTAGCGCGTCCCCTTGGCACGTCCCGCGGTGCGTGCCCATGGCACGTCTCCTGGCACGTCGCCTGGCGCGTCCCTTGGGACGTTCCGCGGCGCGTCCTCCTGGCATGTTCCCCCTGTCGATTAGTTCTGGGGCAGCTACCATCTGCTCAGGCAGCTCGAGCTTAAGATCCAGATCAGTTCGGTCAGGACTCGGATGCAAAGAGGACTCGATCCACAACGCTATATAGAGCGCAATCGCGGCATGTCACATCGCAGTTCAGCACGGCCAGCACAGCGCAGCCGTCGGCACGGTACATCAAGATCGATACATTCAACATTGCATCTTGGCACGTTCTTTGGCGCGTTCCTTGGCGAGTCCACCTGGCACGTCGCGCGGCACGTCCCGCGGCACGTCCATTGGCACGTTCCGTAGCGCGTCCCCTTGGCACGTCCCGCGGTGCGTGCACATGGCACGTCCCTTGGCATGCCGCCTGGCGCGTCCCTTGGGACGTTCCGCGGCACGTCCTCCTGGCATGTTCCCCTTGTCGATTAGTTCTGGGACAGCTACCATATGCTCAGGCAGCTCGAGCTTAAGATCCAGATCAGTGCGGTCAGGACTCGGATGCCAGGGAGGACTCGATCCACAACGCTATATAGAGCGCAATCGCGGCATGGCACATCGCAGTTCAGCACGGCCAGCACAGCACAGCCCTCGGCACAGTACATCAAGATCTGTACATTCAGCACTGCATTTGCCCGTCGCCCAACGAAGTGTCTTTGAAACGTTGCCATGCCTTACATGTCTATATTCCTTTCCAGGTTAGTGGGTCGATCATGTTGGCGATGTGCAGGGCCACGGCGTCGCCTCGCACTGCTCTTCGCTGCAGACAGAGCCCCTGGACAAAAAAAAACAGGTGCAGACGGCAGATGACGAGAAGGGGAGGGCAGGGTAGAGGAGAGAGGACGGCAGACGCAGATGAAAAAAAGGGCAGGGTAGAGGAGAGAGGACGGTAGAGGTAGGGCAGGGTAGAGGAAAACAAAAAGCAGGTGCAGACGGCAGAGGACGGCAGAGGACGAGAAGAGGAGGGCAGGCGGGGGAGAAGTCAGGAAGAGAATCGGATCGTGACGATGCCCTTGTTCTGCCAACGTCGGCTCTCGCGGCGAGGTATATGCGAGAGGAGGACGGGCGGGAGAAAGGGGTGCGGCAGAGAAGGGGGCAGAGGCTCTCCAGCGGGAGGCGGCGCTTCTCGGCGTTGGCAGGGCCGGGCGCGTTCTATGAGTTGGGATCTCGGAGGATGCTAAGTTTAGGTCGGGCATGTCCCCCTACAGGGGGATTTTGGACGACAAATTAAAAAAATACCCCCGACATATTCAAACACACATCCAAAGCATGCTATATATATATATATATATATATACAAATGGTCGCCAGACTATGTTTTGACTGTTTTTGAATATTCCTCCTGTAGAGGGACAGCCCCGACTTGATGCTAAGTCCGTACAGGGTAAGTCCGCACAGAGTACTCAGTCTCCGTCTGGGTTATCTCCGTCTGGCCTCGCGCCCTTTGGAAGCCGCGATCTCTCAGGGTTGAGGGGTCCGCACGGTGTCAGAAGCCAGCGCGCAAGTCGTCACGATACGAACGTGTCGTAGTGGTTCTCGTCTCATGGTTATCCTTCCGGAGGTTGGTCGCGTCATCGCATGAAGAGCTCCGAGGTCTGTGAGCTGTCAGTGAGAGGACGCCAATCTATACTCGTCTGCACGTAAGGGCAGCCTTCAGTCGGGCCTGTCCCTCTACAGGAGGAATATTCAAAAATAGTAAAAAAATAGCCGGGGGACTATGTTTTGATTGTATTGTTGAAGATTTGCGGGATATATTTTGGGGGTATTTCTATTCTGTTGCCCAGAATCCCCCTGTAGGGGGACGTGCCCGACTCAAGGGTACAGTGCCGTTTTTTTGTATACATGCTCCGCGTGCGGACCATGTATTAAAAATAAAGGGTTGTTTAATAAATGCAAGGATGAGCGTATGCATAAATTTACCCATGAAGTATTCATGTATTACAAATCCCATGTTTTTTATCCCATGTATTAAAAACTGCCCTGTAGCCCTTCAGGTGACTGGCCTTGGCCAGGGGCCGCCGTCGTCGCCGAAAGCGCGTGCAGAGATCGGCAGGCCGCGCACCGGAGGTCGCTCGTGGAGATGCGCGGGGCTCGCAGAGGAGACTGTCCCAAGGGACTCCACAGTGGACCTCCCCCTCCTCCTCCTCCTCCTCCTCCTCCTCCTCCTCCTCCTCCTCCTCCTCCTCTCTCCCCTCCTCCTCCTCCTCCTCCTCCTCCTCCCCCACCCTCCTCCTCCTCCTCCTCCTCCTCCTCCTCCTCCTCCTCCTCTGGATCAAGGGGGCGTGGATTAGCGACGGGTCTCGTTTTCATGGGAGGTCGGGGGAGCGAATCGGCTGGATGCTCACGGCTCTTTCTTCCAGTGCTTGGGCGATGCTCCTCTTTATCCCACCCTTGCCCTACCCCACCCTGGCGTCCCCCGATGCACGCAGCCCACATCCTCTGTCAGAAGTTTGCAGAAGATCCGGCCGTGGCAGCCAGGGGCGCGGGGAGAGCCAGCGCAGCCGCACTGGTCCGCTCTTGTCCGTGGCCGTCTCCCCTGACGTGGTAGAAGAAAAAGGCACCCCACCCCAACCTGGCCCCCCTCCCCAGAAGGGGGGGGGGCAGGCGGCGGGCGGGGGGGGGCATATTGGTTGTGCCAATGTTGAGAAGCGTCCTCACGATCGGGTTTCGAAACTCTCTGGCCCTCTTGTGGCCTGCTTTGGGCAGAGGGCTCGAAATGTCGGTTCGTGTACTCCCTCTGGGGCATCTCTTGGACCCCTCTTGGGGCCCACTTGGGCCATCTTGGGCTGTCTGGGGGCGCCTGGGGCCTATTGGGGCGATCTGGGGGGCATTTTAGACCGTCTAAGAGCGTCGAAAGTCCGAACAGGCGAGCACACCCGAATCCCTCAAAGACCCTCTTGGGGGTACTCTTTGAGCCATCTTGGAGCGTCTTGGAGGTCTCTTGGGCAGTCTGTGGGCCATCCTGGGAGTCCTGGAGCGATCTCCGGGCGACCTGGGGCGCCATCTTGGACCGTCTCGGGGGCCTCCTGGGGCCCTCTCTTGGCCCGTGATGGCGCCCTGTGGCTTCTGGAACAGTCTCCCTCCCTCCCTCCTCCTCCTCCTCCTCCTCCTCCTCCTCCTCCTCCTCCTTCTTCTGATCCCCCCCTCCTCCTCCTCCTCCTCCTCCTCCTCCTCCTCCTCCACCCTCCCTCCCTCCCTCCCTCCCTCCCTCCCTCCCTCCTCCTCCTCCTCCTCACGCGACCAGCCCCAGGAATGCCCAAGAGATCTTGGAAAGGTGGTTGTGGGCCCCCGTAAAGAGTGTTTGTTGCACTTCACACAAAGGACCCGAAGGGACCCGACGCCCCCCAGGCCTGGCGCTTCGCCAGCGGCAGCCGCCGCCGGTCTTCGCATCAATTAAATGACGGGCTGCGTGCTACTGGCACGCCGACACGGGCTACAGCCCAGCACGCCCACCTCTTTTTCCCGGAAAGGGCGTGGGCCCAGGGTTCTCTTTTAGGGGTTTGCCCCCGGATCTGACGGCTGTAGGGCCGGCGAATTTTTTTGCGATAAATGACGACGTCGCGTAGGGCCGGCGAATTAAAATGTAAGGATGTCCTTAGCGAAACGTTGGTTTTTGAAATCGCGATCGATAAATCACAGGGTGCGGGACACATTTTGGTCAGGGGCACGGATCACGTACGTTCCCATAGATTGGCCCCATCCAGGGGCACGCGTCTGTGTTTTTACGTATGTCCCTATAGATGGGCCCTCTCGTTACCTATAGCTTCGCCCTCTCCAGGGGCACGAAGACGTATGTTTTTTTATGCATACTCCTATAGATTTGCCATCTCCAGGAGTACGTGTGTTCCCATAGATTGGCCCCATCCAGGGGCCCGCATGCGTTTGTTTTTACGTGTGTTCCTATACATGGGCCTTCTCATTACTTACAGATTGGCATTCTCCAGGGGCACGAATTCGTATGTTTTTACGTGTATTCCTATAGATTGGCCCTCTCCTGGATTACGTGTGTTCCCATAGATTGGCCCTCTCCAGGGGCACGAATCCGTGTGTTTTTACGTATATTCATATAAATGGGCCCTCACATACCTTATAGATTGGGTCTCTCCAGGGGCACGCGCCATTGACACCTTCAGCAATGCAAATGCCCGTCGCCAAATTCGGTGTCGTTAAAAGAGTTCCATGCATGCGGTTCTGTATCCCTCCTGGGGCTCGAGCCCTAGCTGTTCCGCGTGTATTCCTATAGATTGCCCCTCTCCTGGGGCTCGAATCCTTTATGTTTCGTGGGGTGTCCCGTGGACTGTTCCGCGGGGTGTTTTGTCTGTTGTTTCGTGGGGTGTTTCGCGGGGTGTTCCGTCGGTACGGTTGGCCTCGGTTCGGGTTCGCCCCCTCTTGCTTCGCCCCGCTTCGGAACTGAATCGGATCTTGAAATCGAGCTGGTTGAGAGCGCCGCACGTTTCAATTGCGACCAGCTCTGGGCGAATCATGTGTTCAGACAGCTCGAGCTTAAGATCCAAATCAGTTCGGTCAGGATTCGGAGGCCACGGGCGAGTTGATCCACAACGCAATCGAGCACAGCGCACTTCTGCGCAGCATGGCAAATCCCAAGGCAGCGCAGCACGGCGCAGCACAGCCCCTGGCACGGTACGTCGCCGTCGATACCTTCAGCATTGCAAGTGCCCGTCGCCCAATTCGGTGTCGTGAAAACGTTTCCACGCTCCACATTTCCATATTCCTTTCGGGGTTCGTGGGTCGATCATGTTCACCCTCCACCCGAGGACACTCCAACTCGTGCCTCAGGGCACGGTGGCTTTAAGACCCTTACAAGCAATGTTTATGTAGGCCTCCCAGACGGGGTCGGAGCAGATGGGGTCGGAGGATCGCGCCGCACCGCCGATGCACCGCCGACGTCGAAAACGCATCGACGGCGCATCACCGATGCATCGCTGATGCATCGCCGATGCATCGGATGTGCGGCGAGGTCCTCCGACCCCCTCTACTCGGACCCCATTCGAGGAGGCCTCTACTTTAGTCAAGGGCAGGAAAAAACGCCCCTACCCTGGTTTACGAGGCGCTGTGCGCTGAAACTCCTGTGGGCTGACAGGGTAAACCCTGCGTGATGTGCCGCGCCCTGGCGGCTCTAGGCTTTGGGGGTTCCCAGGAGGTCTACAGACCGCGCACTTGTAACCCAGGGTAGGGTCGTTTTTTCATCCCTCAATGTACGGTAGGTTTGCGTCGTGTCGACCAGCGGCGACCCCAGCGCGGGCGTTCAAGTTTGAACGCCGCCGGCGACCCAGAATCGATCGATGTTGAACGATCGGACGTTGCGGCAGCGGCCGATCGTTCAAGGTTGAACGATCCCTGCGGTGTCAAAAACCGACGCCGAAGTCGGCACGATAACCCAGGGTAGGGTCGTTTTTTCATCCCTCAATGTAGGGAACGAGCAAAGGCTGCACAGGCCCAGCCGCTCGGAGCTCCCCGCGGAGCTCCCCGGGACGGCGCGCATGGGACCCGCCCCGGCGCGCCGACCCCCGGCGCGCGCCGTCGCCCGCCCCTGGGGACGGGGGGCCCCCGCCGACCCAGAGGCCATCCGCGCGGACCCAACGGCTCGAGTCTGTGGCTCTCCTCCTCCTCCTCCTCCTCCTCCCCCTCCTCCTCCTCCTCCTCCCCCTCCTCCTCCTCCTCCTCCTCCTCCTCCTCCGAGGGGCGCCCCCGAGGGCGCGAAGTTCTCGGCGCTGCGCGCTTCGGCGCCGATGCCTCCCCGTCCTCCTCGTCTGCCCCCTGGGAGGCGGCGCGGGAGCGCGGAGTTATTCGCACTTCGCGATGCGCGGAGCGCGAAGTTGGGAGCCCCTGGAGCGATTTGACGATGTGCCGTGTGCTTGTTCCTCTGCACCCCGAGCGGACGGGGACTCGATGGCGATTTTGTATCAACTTCTGGCGCCCCGCGCGGGGTTTCTTGGATCCGCGCTGGGCCCCCCGGCGGCGCCTCCAGCGCCGCCCCTTGCGCGCTCCGCGCGCCAGGAAGGGGAGTCCAGCGCGGATCGAAGAAATCCGCGCGGAGCGCCAAAAGTTTATGTGTGTTGCGGTGTTCCTCCTCTAGACATGTTTCCCAAGGGAGTTGCCGCACTGCTCGCCAGTGCCGGCGATTTAGAGCCTCCGATGTCGAGACGAGGGAGAGGTGATTCGCTCCGCCGTGGGGAGGTGGAGGGCTTCTCCGACCCGCTGCCCACGATCCAGACTCCAGAGAGTGCCAAGGCTGCCCTGGCCCTGGGCTTGCCACGCTGACGGACGGTGGTCATGATTCGACGTGGTTCCCGAGATGATCGGGATTGAGTGTTCGTGATCCCGATTGCCGTTCTTGGTCCTCGCACACGGTCGGCTCCGCGCGTGCTGCCCCCGCCCGAACATGGCAAGAACGGAAAAACAGTTTGGAGGGGCGCCGTGTCTTGTCATGCAGACCGGGTTCTCTTGAACCAGACCGTGTTGCCCTTCCTGGACGCAGCACTTGGCGGGCGGCCAGAGTTCCTCCCAGGGTCCACGTCGATCTGGTCGACCCGATTCGGTTTCCGTTTTCGATACGTCGATCTCGATTCGATCTCGATTATCCGATCTTGGCTCGATATTCTAGACGTTTCGCGTAGCCCCACCAGCCCATCCAGAAGCGATGCCCAGACGAGTTGCTTTGATCAGGGATGTCGAAAAGCATGCAGTGAATAATGGGTTGGGTGAGACGAGGTTGCGTAGGGCCTGCGAAATTGTGTTTGAGGATGTCTCGAGCGAAACGCTTGTTGTTCAGAATGTGTTGAGGATGTGTCGAGCGAAACTCTTGTTTTGTGTTGAAGATTGTCGTCTCCTGGGGACCAGAATTCAGAGGATTGCTCAAGTGAAATGCTTGTTTTCACGTGCCCAGGTCTTGAGCATGTCTCGAGCGAGACGCTTGGTTTCACGCGTCCAGGTTGCCCAGGCAAATGTCTAGCATGCGGATTTGTCGAGGATGTCTCGAGCGAAACGCTTGTTTTCACGCGTCCGTCGCGCAGTTGGATGTCCAGCATGACTGAGGTAGTCTCGATCGAGACGCTTGTTTGCACGTGTCCAGGTTGCCCAGGCGGATGTCTAGCATGAGGATGTCCCGTGGCGAGTCCCCCTGGCACGTCGCGCGGCGCGTCCCCTGGCACGTCTCGTGGCACGTCCATTGGCACGTTCCGTAGTGCGTCCCCTTGGCACGTCCTGCGGTGCGTCCCCATGGCACGTCTCCTGGCACGTCCCCTGGCGCGTCCATTGGGACGTTCCGCGGCGCGCACGTCCATTGGCACGTTCTGTAGCGCGTCCCTTTGGCCTGTCCCGCGGTGCGTCCCTATGGCACGTCCTCTGGCGCGTCGCTTGGCGCGTCCCTTGCGACGTTCCGCGGCGAGTCCTCCTGTCAGTTAGCTCTGGGGCAGCTACTATGTGCTCAGGCAGCTCGAGATTAAGATCCAGATCAGTTCGGTCAGGACTCGGATGCAAGTCGGACTCGGTACAGCACAATCGCGGCATGTCACATCACAGTTCAGCACGGCGCAGCACAGCACAGCCTTCGGCACGGTACATCAAGATCGATACAGTCAGCATTGCAACTTGGCACGTTCCGTGGCGCGTCCCCTGGCACTCCCGTGGCACGTCCATTGGCACATTCCGTAGAGCACCCCCTTGGCATGTCCCGCGGTACGTCACCATGGCACGTCCCCTGGCGCGTCGCTTGGCGCGTCCCTTGGGACGTTCCGCGGCGCGTCCTCCTGGCATCATGGCACATCGCAATTCAGCACGGCGCAGCACAGCACAGCCCTCAGCACGGTACATCAGGATCGATACATTCAGCAATTTGGCATGTTCCTTGACACGTTCTGTGGCGCATCCCGTGGCACGTCCCCCTGGCACGTCGCGCGGCGCGTCCCCTGGCACGTCCCGTGGCACGTCTACTGGCCCGTTGCCCAATCTTGTGTCTTTGAAACGTTGCCATGCCCTACATTTCTATACTGTAGTGGCCTTCGGCCAGTGCCGCCGATCTGGGTCGCTTGGGGTGCCCCCCAGACGGGGCGGCGACATTTTCGCCGACAGACACGCACGCACATGCTCGCAGACATTACGCGCACACGCACACACACACACACGCACACACACACACACACACACACGCACACAAACATACACACACACTACACACATGACACCCACAGACACACACACACACACACCACACTCACACACGCGCGCCACGTTCGCAGGCACATGCACACGCACACGCCAGCAACACACACACACACACACGCACACCACGCACACCGCACAAACACACACATACACACACACACACACCACAACACACACGCATTTCACCGCCACCTTCGTCTTCCCCCCACTTGTTCCCCGTTTCCCGCCCTTGTTCTGGACCACTTCTCTCTCCCCTCCTTCTTTCCCCGATTCCCTTCTCGCGTACACGGACAAACATTACCCCGCGCACACGCGCACACCCCTCCCTCCCTCCATTCCCTGGCAGAGCCATCCCGGCACCGCCCCCCGAGGCTGAAAAATTCAGCCTCGAGGCTGTAGCTGAGGCCCCTTCGAACGCACACGCCACGGAGCCCCCCTTCCCCTCCCCCACGCCCTCGGAACACATGCCACCGGATCCCCCCCTTCTCTCTCTTCCCCCACTTCCCCCCTTGTCCACAGGGCGGGTCGGGCGACCGGACCACCCCCCGCCATCCGCGCCACCGGAACCCCACGCCACCGGACCCCCTCTCCCCTTACCCCGGCAGAGCCACCCCGGCCACTGGACCCCCCCCCCCCCCCTTTTCCCCCAATTCCCCCCGTGCACAGGCGGGACGGGGGACCGGACCCCTCCCCCCCACGCCACAGGAACCCACGCCACCGGACCCCCACCCTCCCCCCTACCTTGGCAGAGCCACCCCAGTCACCCCCTCCCCGTGAAACTCACAAGCCAGATCGGTGGACTCGTGGGTCGATCATGTTTCCTCGAAAGGGCTCCAGCCCAAGGTTCCCTTTTAGATGTTTCCCCCTGGCCTCGATATGCGTAGGGCCGGTGGAATTATTTTGCGATAAATCACGAGGTCGCGTAGGGCCGGCGAAATTGTGTTTGAGGATGTCTCGAGCGAAACGCTTGTTTTTTGTTCAGAATTTGTTGAGAACGTCTCAAGCGAAACGCTTGTTTTGTGTTCTATATTGTTTCTCTCTTCGGGACCAGAATTCAGAGGATGTCTCATGTGAAGTGCTTGTTTTCACGTGCCGATCTTGAAGACGTCTCGAGCGAAACGCTTCGAGGATGTCTCGAGCGAAACGCTTATTTTGCAGAACTCGAGCGGCCTGGGCGCCCCAGGATGCCCAGGTGGTTCTGGGAGCCCGAACGCAGCGTAATTTACTAAGGAACGTGGCCCTGGCACAATCGCGCGGCGCGTCCCCTTGCACGTCCCATGGCACGTCCACTGACACGTTCCGTAGCGCGTCCCCTTGGCACCTCCCGCAGTGCGTCCCCATGCCATGTCCCCTGGCACGTCCCCTGGCGCGTCCCTTGGGACGTTCCGAGGCGCGTGTTCCTGGCATGTCCCCTTTTCACTCAGCTCTGGGGCAGCCACTACGTTCTCAGGCAGCTGGAGCTTAAGATCCAGGTCGGTCCGGTCAGGACTCGGATGCAAAAGAGGACTCGATCCACAACGCTAAACAGCACGGCACATCGCAATTCAGCACGGCGCAGCACAGCACAGCCTTCGGCACAGTACATCAAGATCGATACACTCAGCAATTTGGCATGTTTCCTGGCACGTTCCGTGGCGCGTCCCGTGACGAGTCCCCATTGGCACGTCGCGCGGCGCGTCCCTCGGTACGTCCCGTGGCACGTCCACTGGCACGTTCGTAGCGCGTCCCCTTGGCACGTCCCGTGGTGCGCCCCCATCGCACGTCCCCGGGCACGTCCCGCAGTGCGTCCCTTAGGACGTTCCGCGGCGCGTCCTCCTGCCATGTCCCCCTGTCGATTAGTTCTGGGGCAGCCACTACGTTCTGAGGCAGCTCGAGCTTAAGATCCAGATCTGTTCGGTCAGGACTCGGATGCAGAAGAAGACTCGATCCACAATCCTATACAGCACATCGCAACTCAGCACGGCGCAGCACAGCACAGCCCTCAGCACGGTACATCAAGATCGATGCATTCAGCATTGCAATCTTGGCACGTTCCGTAGCGCGTCCCGTGGCGAGTCCCCCTGACACAATCGCGCGCGTCCCCTGGCACGTCCCATGGCACGTCCACTGGCACGTTCCGTAGCGCGTCCCCTTGGCACGCCCCGCGGTGCGTCCCCATGGCACGTCCCCTGGCGCGTCCCCTGGCGCGTCCTTTGGGACGTTCCGCGGCGCGTCCTCCTGGCAGATCCCCTTGTCAATTAGCTCTGGGGCAGCCACTACGTGCTCAGGCAGCTCGGGCTTAGGATCCAGATCAGTTCGGTCAGGACTCGGATGCAAGTCGGACTCGGTACAGCACAATCGCGGCATGGCATATCGCAATTCAGCACGGCGCAGCACAGCACAGTCTTCGGCACCGTACATCAATTTCGATACATTCAGTATTGCATTTGCCCGTTGAGGTGTCCATGAAAACGTTACCATGTTTTACATTTCTATATTCCATACTTCTTCTATATTCCTTTCCAGTATCGTGGGTCGATCATGTTTCCGAGAGTTGCTTGGAGTCTTCTTGGGTGTTTGGGGGGTTTCTCTGCAGTCCTGGGTGCCTCTTGGGGCATCCTGGGTGCCTGGGGAGCTTTTGGTGGGATTTGGGGTGGTCTTTGGGGAGCCTCTTAGGGGCATCTTGAGGGCCTCCTGGGGGCCTCTTGGGGCCTCCTGGGCATCTCTCGGGGCCGTCTTGGGGTACCCTGAGGAGCCTCGGGGGCAATCTTGGAGGAGATCGATCACAGGAGGGGCCGTACCACATCTGGGTACAGTCGGACTTGATTGGAGAGGACACGCGAGAGGACACAAGACCCTTCCGAGGGCCACGTTGCCACAGAAATGCAGGAGGCATGGGGTCGCAAGACACAGGACACGAGGGTACCCTTGATCTGGCAGGGTCGACCTACTAATCCGGGCCGCCTGTACCCCCCCTTCAGGAGGCCAATACGTAGCCAAATACCCAGTAGAATCAATGCTGCGGGTCTTCTCGCCGAGGCCTCTTGGGGTGTCTTGGGTGCCTCTGGGGGGCCACGGGGGGCCTTCTATAGGGGTTT